CTATTGGATTCTATTGTTTATTGCTGTTTTATATATTATATGTCCACATATCTTCCCATGACTAGAACAACAAATAATGAACCATCAACCTAGTAACCATCATTCCACTCACCCCAGTCCTTGGAGCCTTCCTCGTTAAGCCTTTCCACCTCCACTTCCTGGGTCCCAACTTCAGTCAGAAGGGGATTACTCTGTGGTAATTCAACGGTTTGCTATTGGAAATGGCCATGTAATTCGTTGATTATGAATGATGATGTTCCATAGCTATGTGATTTTACCAGAGGCTACTGTGTAGCTGCTATGGTTCAATTTTACAGGACCAAAAGAAAACAAAAAATGCATCAAACTTTCATTGATTAGATGAATTTCATTGTCCCCTCCAGATTCTGATTCATTGCGACTGTGGATAAAAAATGAGTCCAGCATTCGTGAGGGGCATCTGAATCCCAATCCGTAGTGGTTATAAATCCCATTGTCATTGACTAGTTATATAATCATATTTCAGGTGTTTAGTTTGTGACATCCCTACATTTGTCGCTTAATTCATACGATTCATCAAGTTTAAACCCTATGTTTTCTTCAACAAATCCGGCTATTCATGCTAAAATCCTAATTTATATCTGTCAAATATCCATATCCGAACATTCCTGTTGGCGAAATCCTCACTTTTACATATGTTTACTGGTGGTATCCTCATATTCTTGTTCACGTGTTTACTGGTGAAAACGTCACATGTTTACTGGTAAAATTATCATATGTTTCCAACATGTTTACTGGTGAAATTCTCATTTGTTTTCACATATTTACTGGTGAACTCTTCATTTTTGTTTCTAAACTACGTTTTTTTTTTCCATATGTTTACTGGTGATATCATCATTTTTCATATGTTTGTTCCGTTCTTTTCACATGTTTTTCCTGGTGAAATCTCACGGCAGTTCACCGCTGACATTTTTTCAAACCGTGCGTCGGTCAAATCCTCGGGGCGTCGGCCCATGGACTCGGCGGCTTTCTCCCTGAGACGCGTGAGGCACTCCTCGCGAGTCCTTGGAAGATGAGTGATGTGGTAAAGATCATAGCCGGCCTGGTAAACTAACATAGCTATTGAACATGACCATTTATAGCTTGATTTACCCACAAACAACTGATAATGATGATAATGATATAATAGTGATATATATATAATAGTGATATAATAGTGATATAATAGTGATATGATAGTGATATAATAGTGATATAATAGTGATATAATAGTGATATAATAGTGATATGGTAGTGATATAGTAGTGATATATGATAGAAAAATCGAATAAACTGCCTATCTATGATGATGACTGGGGATGGTTTATGACATTGTTTTAATCACATTGATAGTGATATAATGGATATAATGATATAATGGATGATAATGATAACTCCTGGTAAAGATATAATGGATATCATGATAAATGATACCAAAATAATAGTGATTACCAATACAGGTAGTGGTTACCAATAAAGGTAAAACCCAAATGCTCCATGTGTGGTATATTTACCTACATGACTGAGTGATTTTGTCCGGGAAAATGTTGGTAAATATTCCATACGTGGAGCATATGGGTAATGGGTATAATAGTGCTTACCAAGATAATTTATAAATGATGATACTTCCCGATATATGATGATAATGGTTATGGTGCTGGTCATGATTAATGGTAATGACAATGATAATTGCAACGATCATTTTCCTTAATTGATGAGGGAATGGTTGGTGATAATGGTAATAAAAATGGTAATGATAATGGTAACAATCATTTTTCTTAATTCATGTGGTAATGATAATGATACTGGTAATAACCATGACTAAAGCGATGACTATAGTGACTAGAATGATTATGATTATGGATCATGATGACGATGATAATGTTGTGATGTGGTAAAGATGATCCATACAAGGATGAAAACCCCCAATGTATTGATGATAAAAGTAGTGATAATGATATGATCGTAATCCCCTAATATGATTTATAACCATGACTATAGTGATGACTATAGTGATTTTGATTATGGATAATAAACATAGAATGATAAATAGGTATGACTATAGTGATGAATATAGTGATCACAAAGATGAGTGATCACATATGACAATCCCCGATATAGTGTCCATTATGGCTTTAATAGTGAAGCCAATATATTGTTCATTACTGTCCAATAAATTGTGATTGAAGCCATAATGGATTAATGTTGGTAAAGCAATAATGAACTACCCATATAATGATGGTTGTTACCAACAATTCACGGCAAACTTGGGGATGGTTTACTATTGCTTTAACCACATTAGCTCATTCTAGTTCGAATATCATAGGGGTATGACTATTGTATATATATATATATATTCTAGCAATTTCTTGCCCATATTCCAGGGCCGAACATATTCCATGCCAAAATAGCTGCAAAATTTCAGGGAATTGCGAAGACCCCTTTCAGGTAAAATTTGTATTTCGTACAGTTTGCCAAGTACTCCTTTTCTTCTGGCACGTACGTTGTCGACTGCACATGTTCTTCCCCAAAGAAGATCCTTACTTTCAACAATTTCTGGAAATGTCATAATTATATAATAATGTTGAGCTTTCCAAAAATGGATTAATAATGTTCTTATGGGAATTTGTCATCTACACTTTTCAGGATCTCAAAACCCAATTCATAAGCGTTCAGCTTATGTTCTGGCACGCTTGGCTGGCCTTTCACCAGCAGCGCCATCCACTTCTTTCTTGACATCTTTGTGGCCCCACAAAGAGCCCTGCACAACAGGATCTGGGAACACAAATCATCGACGATCCTGTTTTCTTCCGTGCAAAACAATTCCACCGATAGAGTACGATGCCACCCCTGGAGTGCGCTAATTTTCTGGAATGCGAAAATAAAACCGTATGCGTGGCCCCCTTCGACCTTCCCCATGGATCCAACACCATTTGTTTTTCATCACATACCAGAAAATTATCACACTCACCCTGCTGAGCTGCTGGACTCCTGTTTTTTTGCCAACATGGCCTGGAATGCGATAGTATGTGAAACTACCGACGTCTCAGGTGGGAACTCCATCTTCCCCATATTCCAGAATACGTGATTCCAGGCCATTTTAGCAAAAAAAAACGAAAAAAAAACGAAAAACACGTCTCATTCACCGAGTACGAAGATTTTATGGAGTGCGCAGATCTTGCCGAGCCCGATGATTTGACAGTATGTGTACCTCCCCAGCTGTGGAGTGCGATGCCCCCGCTGGAGTGCGAAGAATTTGTGGAATGCGAAGAATTCCGAGTATGCGTGGCTGGTATAGAGACCACATAGGGAAATTTCGGGGCCAGAACCATTCCAATCCCAAAGCCAGCCCAAACTTCCAGGGGCACACCAGTGGGTTCTATTTTTCCGAGTTCACCTTGGGTGAGGCCCCGGGGAAGAAACTTGCTAATTTTTACTCAGCCAACCTTTAAAAACGTTACCTCTGAAAACCCTGTCCTTCTTCGGTAGACAAATGAGGAAATTCCCTTATCAAAGCAGCCTTCAATTCATCCAACGTCCACAGCTGCTTTGGAACGACATAATTAGGGGATAGAAAGCTGTGGAGGGGCATTCAGTGGATTCGCCATGGCCCAACTGTTCCCTCCAGATTGAGCTGAAATGCCTATCAAAGTAACACACCAAAACCCAGGTCTGGAGTACGATGAAAACATGGTATGCGAAGATTTTCTGAATATGGGAATTTTGCCTCTAGATATATACTAATGTTTCATAGTCCATTAGGATTTCCCATACTGGATTGTGTCAATCCCCAGTACGTTGGGGTATATTTGAGTAGCCTCCCTAATCATCAACCAACAAGGGTTTTGAACACTATACTCATTTTTGGGATGACCCTACTTGGTGTATATACTGAATACTGGGTAAGCCCCATATATTTCATTATAAACTTGACTTCGCGGGAGATAAAGATGCACCAATTTGGTAAACTTCGTGGTAATAAGTACAGTGTAAACAATCTTATAGTGGTGGATTAGGGTAACATATTGGGTGGATATATATATATATATGTATATACAACTGCGTTATAAAAGTGGTGTGGCTTAAGGTAATGATCACTCACAGTTTCTTAACTGGTTCACTGATTCATCACCATTCCTCCATGATCAAATGGCTATATCTGGCAGTTTATATACTCACCAGTAGGCTATATATTTATATATATATATATAGTATATATATATAGTATATATATAAAAGTATATATATATGTATATATATATATATATATGTATATACGTATAAATATATATACAATATGTAGCCATGTGGATTCCCATAAATCCTAAGTTTTTTTCGCTCCCACCAGCACCAAGTGACCCCTGGCAGTCTTTGACCACATCCGTGGCGGCAGCTTTCCCAGCTTCCTTTAAGGCCTGGTTCTTGTCGCCCTTGCTGTGCTTGGTGCGGTTGTCCGCCGTGCCTTTGTTTGGGCACGTTTTAGCCATGGCAGCAGGGCCGAGTTTGCTGGCAAACTTGGCAACATGGGAGTTGAAACAAGAAAACATCAAGATATCAAACATAATATGATGTTGTTGGGCCAACCTTACATAAGAACTGCACTGCAAACTGACATGACCTTTTTAGGGGGAAGCTTCGAAATCCAATGTTTGGCAATATTTTAATTAGATTTTAAAAGGAAATCTCATCGATCTTGAAATAGACGAATTAGTTTTCTATATTGGGGTTTTTATAATAGTATTAGGGGGGGAAAACTTCGAAATGCAATTTTTGGCAATATTTCAATTAGATAAAAAATAAAAATAATACTCGATTTTGAAATACAAAAACATAGTTTTTTATATTAGGGTTTTAAATTTAGTCTTAGGGGGAAACTTCGCACCCTAATAATAAACACACCCTAATACTAAAAACTACCTGAGGTGTTTATTATTTTGGGGGGTTGGGGGTTTAGTATTCGGGGGAACGGATTACCCATCCAAGGTTGACCCAGACATGAAGATCCAAGTTGCATTATGATTTGACTTTCCCTTCGCGCTGCATGCTATCTTGCTTGCTATCACCCTCCTTTGACAAACATATCATCCCAGTGTTGTCCCTATCTGGCCCACATTTCTATGAAATCGTGGCTAAACTTCGATTTCCAGCCCTGCCAAAAAGAAGCTGGACGATGCGGTAAGCCTAGTAATGATAATGGAATATGTAAATCCCATAACATCGCCATTTTACATTGTCCCCTTGCTAGGGCTATAACCAGGGCAACCTCTAGTCATTAGTGGGGACGACGTAAGTCGTTCATCCCATGAGTTTTTGTTTCCTTAGTTGTGGCGATCCAAACCCAGCACCAAAATTTTACCCAATAAATTTCACCTTCGACAGCGCCAAGCTGCTGAGCACTTGATCCGTAAGGATATCCCGGCAGAGCTGGCGAGCAATGTCATCAGTGGCGGCCCTGGTGGGATGGGCCACGGAGAATGCACGCGTCTTAGATGCTCAGGGCCCCTGCTAAAATCCAAACGTCACCCTAGCCGTAAACCAATTTAGCTATAGAACGGAGCCCCAAAATCTATAAATACCCGCGTATGACCCCTATAACTACTAATTTTAGCTGGTCACTGATATTGAATCTTCAAACCAAAATGGATCAACATGGCACAAACATAATCTCATTCCAAATTAACCCATCAACTTTTCAAACAAAGCTTGACTTAGAGTTGGGAGATCACGGACACACATAGCAACATCAGCCAGTCGTTAGTGCCTTCAGCCCAGCTGCAGTTTTTCACTCGTTGGGGATTATCATGACAAAGAGGCAAAGAGGTGGTTTAAATTATATATCTGATATGTTGAAGCACGGAACATAATATATTTAATATATGTCTTTTTTGTGTGCATAAATGGCAGACCAAGCGTGGGTTCCTGAATTTGCAGGAATCGACCATGGGTTTTTTCCCCGCCTGCCGGGTGAGGTTCTCGAGATTCTATCACAGACTTTCCCGCCTCCTCTTCTCCTCTTCTCCTCTTCTGCTCTTCTTCTTTTCGTCCTCAACCGCGAGCTCCAGAGATCAGTGGGCACTGCCGGGCCTCAACCGCGAGCGTCAGATCTCAGTGGGCACTGCCGGACATCAACCGCGAGCGCCAGATTTCAGTGGGCACTGCTGGACCTCAACCGTGAGCTCCAGAGCTGGACCTCAGCCAAACGCCAGAGAGAATGTCAGATAGAATGTCAGAATGGGTGCCAGATAGAACGACAAAAAGAATGTCAGAGAGAATGTCAGAATAAATGCCAGAAAGTATGTCAGAATAGATGCCAGATAGAATGCGAGATAGAATGTCAAAGTCTATGCCAGAAAGAATGTCAGATAGAATGCCAGAATAAATATGCGCATATGTATTTATATATATATATATATCGTATATATAATATTATATACTTCCAAACGGTATGTCAGAAACTAGTGCTTCAAGGTGGGGATCACTGGAAGAAAGTAATTTAAGGCATACTGGATTTGTGTGACTGCCATAGGGCCGCTCGCCCGAGAAAGCAAGTGGGGTGAAAACGGCAGTTCGATTCTCTAGTCATTACATTTGGATGGGGGTTCAACCAGTCGAACAGGGTGGCTGGGAAAACATATTATGAAACCTACTACAGTACACTGCAAGTCAATTGACTAGTCTCTGCTTGCACTCTTGTCTCCAAAGTCAGTTTCAATTGGACAAATAGATGGGGATGAAAAAAACTTTAAACACCTACACATGTAAACCACCAAACAGTGCAATTCCGCCCACCAGTCACGCAATGTGGCTACGCATCACAACACATTTTGCTCACGTCAAAATAAGAGTATACATATCTGGTTGGTGGTTTCAACCCCTCTGAAAAATATTAGTCAAATGATGTGAAAAGGGATGATTATTCCCAATATATGCAAAATATAAAATATTTCAAACCAATAACGAGATATTTGATATTGTATAGGGATATGAATACTCCCAAATTCATGTGCGAAAATCGGTTTTGCTCCTCATGCCGACATATCATGTGCCCTTAAAAAAAAAACTATCCAAAGAATGTAGCCGCTGAATGTGGTCAATCTTTAAGGGTTCAAAAAAACTTTTGGCTACTGCTGTCACCAAATCTCAACGTTGATTGAGCTTTTGGAAATTGGTTAAATCCCGACTTGGCTTCTTGGCATTATTCAATCTATGAGTATCTGGAAACATCATAGATTTTGACTCTTGACTACCACTTGCTTGCTTGATGATTATACTCCAATCTATTGTGGTTGTACTCTAACTTTGTATATAGCCTTATCTCCCTAGTCCCCACATAGATTCTACATCTATGTTTACCACATGTTCTATCTTGACTTCAGCGACCTAATTCCTCAAGTCCGCATTCTATGGGTATCATATCCACATTTGGATAGATATCAGATCCACATTGAACCCATTCAACGGTATATATATATATATTATATTATATCATATTAAATCATATTACTGTATACCCACATTGGCCTCCGGTGATATTCTATGATTCATCCCAAGTTTTCCAAAAAAACAAAACATCCCCGGAGATCCCCCCCGGGGAACGCCTGGTGCAGGCGGCCATAGACTCAGCCAACTCATCCTTCATGGCGTTGCTCAGCCGACGCGCCAACTGGTCGTCGGTGATGTCGCTCTTCCCCTGGCGTTTCGAGTGACGATCCTCGAATCTGGTGATTTCCCGCCGATGAATCGATGAATGGAGGTGCCACAAACCATTCATACCCAAATCATACCCATATGCGAACCATGCATGGTATATAAAAACCTACAAAACTGGGTGATTTTGGACAAGGGCAAATGTTGGGATTCATATTCCAGCACCATGGTTCGCATATGGGATTCATAAATGGTGGATAGTCATCGAAGTAAATGGAATCATATGGTGATTTCGCTGAATGGAGGTGTGTTTTAATGGGATTTCGGGATAACCATCGAAGTTTCTATTTGTAAATGGTGGATTTCCAGCAAGCCACCTTTGACTACCGGATGCTGAAGATTCCTGAAGATTTCTGAAATCGATTCGAGCAATTCGAGAACATATCCTGGAGAAAATTACTATAACTCGCATGTGATCTCCAATTATTAAGATACTAGTAAATTTATAGCTACTATTAACGAAATATGAATTCTATTCTAGAAATTACATTGATGCTTCGTAGTTACTAGAATTTTCCATTAAGACACTATTAAACCAATGTATATCCATGCAACTTTCAAGACAAATCGACCAAATCCATCATTTCACGGGCAACTGACCATGGCCACATGATTCCCCCCTGTTTGGAACAGTGATCCATCCGGAAGTCGTGCGAGCGATCCCCGATCCCCTCCCCATCTGGTTGGTGGTGGCGATCTCGAAAAATATGAAAGTCAATGGGAAGGATTATCCATGATTATCCTATAATATCCTATATATTATGGAACATATAAAATGTTCCAAACCACCAAGCAGTTTTCAAATTAAGTTGGGCTAGTTAGATCGTCAGTTGCTCGAATTCTGTCCTAAAATTCTAAGCCGGAGAAACCTTGGAAGTTGTTTTTTAGGAAAATGGTTTCAAGAATCTTATGATACATGGAGAGCTCACCCAACCAAAAATAGCTTCGGAACCTACACATAGTAATGCATGGTGGCTTAAGCGATCTAAAAAGGTGCTTACCCAACGAAAAAAAATGGGCTTGAGAAACCAAAATTGGTATGTGATCACCTACAAAACAAGTGGCTTTGATAAACATGTCCTTCCTTTCTTTATCTGTCCGGGTGACTTAATGCACGCGATTGTGGCTTGTACTGAACACCTTCATTGGTCCCCATCCATCTTGCACACAAACTTTGCTAAATGACATGTGCATGCAACATTTTGTTAAACATGTTTTCTCTCGGTCTTGCTGGAAGGCAAACTTCAGCACGAGTACGCGACAGCCAAGCCCTTTTTTCCGTCTTCTGCCATGCTCGGTGCCTTTCAGTTTGGGCATGAACTTGCGTGTTCTTGACTGTGTACGCGCACCCGCAGCCACGACATGTCTTTCAGATATATTCTTTCAACCATATGTTGCTTCCATTGTGGCCGTTGAAGTCTTTGAACCAGCAAAATCCCATCATCCATTCATGTTGAGTTCTGCAATAAAAAGCGAGCCTGCAGTTTTAGATATTTTGCTACGATGCAAATATGATATGCACCAAAGGACCCACCATGGCTTTGCCAAAGCATGTCTTGACCAACGAAAAGAATTGAACTCATCTTCCAATCTTTCCCAAAGCCAGGATTTCTTTCTCTGTACTTCCTCCCAAAGATTTCCCAACAGATGATCGATTTCCCATCAATGCTTCCCATCAATGGTCGACAACAATTGATCTATTGCCACATATTGCCAGTGTTCAGCCTCTTATTTCATGCTATTTCATGTTTAAGGTTACAATATGATTAAGGCTCCATGTTGGTCATCTCCCAAAAAAAATGCATGTAGGTCTAGATGGGTACGGCTTAAGGGCTGGGGATATCCTGAATGTTATAATGTGTATATATATATAAATAATAATATAAATATATTATTCTATATAGACCACTGGGGACCGGGAAATGTATTCTCACTTTTCCGGCAAAAGACAAAAAAGTCAAACTACCCAGCTCAAAAGTCGATTTAAGCCAGATATTTACCATGTTGTTTGCTAATAAAACAAAAGGTTGGTACAACATGGTACAAAACATTTAACGATTGGCGGTTGTAGCACATTTTTGTTCTATCCCATGTTCTCCATGTATGGAATATTTACCAACATTTACCCCATAAATCACCCAGTTTTGTAGGTAAATATACTATACATGGAGCATATGGGTATGCCTAAATCCAAGCATAATCCAACCTTTTGCTGGTGACAAAACCCCACTTGATCCGTGCACCTGGCCGGTAGCTGTACCCAGCATCTCCTGGGAGTTGATTGCCGCAACGAGGTCGTCAACAAGATCTGGGATTTTTTGATGGTTTTCCACATGGTATTTATAGTAGATGTGCTTACCAATGTTTGATTGAGCTTCAGAAACAGTGAGCAAGCATGTATTCTGTCGCAAGTCTATGGATAGGGACATCTTTAAGATTGTAACTCTGTGAGGCTTCTACAGTAACTAATGTTTCTGCCTTCATCTTGGGTCCGCAAATTTTGAATAGTCAGAAAATCCTCAAATGTTCGACAAATTCAAGAATTTGATTGTCAATCTTCGGATACTCATTGGCCATCTGGTATCAAACGATCCTTTTTTTGCTTTTGTAATTTGACCATATTTGATCCATCCTACCTAGAGCCCCATAACAAATAGAATGCCATGCATGCTGCAATCATCATTATTTTCTATGTTTCAATAATATGTCTAGATTTCAACATATCTAAATAGGAAAACACATACACAAACATAACCATTTAAACCACCAGCCGAATCTTTAGCTTACATTGTTTCCTCGCTAAATCAAAAGTACTGAAACAAAGAACAGCATGAAACGTCTAGATAGTCAACCATTCTGTTTACCTGCCAAGACACAAACACAAATGCCCACTAACACAAACTAACAAAAAACATATCGAAACATCATAAAAACTGGATAATAGACAAAAAACAGAAAAAACATCAACTGTTCACCCTGTATCACCCTTCATGTGGTATATAAATATATATATATGTATATATATATATATATGGTACTGTATAAATATATATATATATATACGTATATATAATGTATCAATTTTCATCACCTTTCACACTATCGTTTCACCCTATAAACACGGATGCCTACCGGTGCTCGCCGGTCCTTGGCAGACTCCAGGCACGCTTCTCGATCCTCCCCGCAGCTCTTCATGATACTCCACATGTCCTGGACGAAAATCTGGGAATCTCATGAGAATTTTTGATAGATCATCAACTTTGGGAAACACACCTGTTTTCTGAAAAATGATACCCTTTGGTTGTTTAACATAGCCATGGAAAATCACCATTTTAATAGGTACGCCATCTATAAATGGGTCATTTTCCATGGCTATGTTAAATAACCAGAGTGTAAATTACCAAATCCTTGCGCTGAAGTATAGAGCTGAAGATGAATTATTGGCGTCGTTGATCAAATGTTGATATGCAGTGACCACTGAGGTAGGTCGATGAGACTGAGCATGAAACACACTTTTTTATTGAATGTAGATATACGTTTTATAGATGTATGTATGAAGATATAGATCAATAAATATATTGTGATGAATAAACGCATAAAAAGTAAATATCTAGTGTTCACATAATATATATATATATATATAGCTGTATACATCTATATTGCTGTTTATCGTGTATGAAAAACAATACTAAACAAACCAGTTTTCCAAACATCTGAGACCCATTCCCTGGGAAATTCATCAATATATTTTCCAATGCAATGTTTGATTGTCGAAAGGCAAACATATTGGGTATCCATGAGAAAATCATATGGGTTTATAACAACACATACTGTATAAGTATATAATCATTGATATCATTACAGATGGACATATTTTTTGAAGCAAGGTATTCCAGCCGCTTTGGGCATCCAGGGCCTTATTCTTATGGGCTGACTGACCATTGTTCATATGGGCCTATGGGCATAAACCGACAGACATCCTCAAAAAGGAAGAAAAACCTTGTACAGGATATTCTGGATGCTGTTTTTTCAGCTTATTTCCAGCTTTCCAGCAAATGTCCTTCCGTCTTTTCGCAGTCTCCATTCATCTAGGCAAATTATGCTACCCTCTGGTTATTTCAAATTGCTTTTCAACCAAATCTCATTGCCAATGCACAGTCCGGCAAATGTGGTTGAGACCAGTTCTGCATGTGGTCACGCTATGATATGGTATTGATTATATAGTATTATAGCCAGCGATGGTTAAATTCATCCAATTAAATTCAACCATAGCTCATTAAAGCTCATTTTTTCAATAGCATACCATAACATACCATTTATACTGTAATCTTAAATGTGAATTAGATACAATATGACACCGATCTATAATAAAGCAATGTTGGGTTGGCTACCGTTACTAACATTGATGTTATTTGTTGTAAATTAAGATTATATTCCTACTACTATGCCCATATATATCCCTTACGAATCTCTACTAACTGCTGCACTAGTCACTGTTAAATCATCAATAGCCCATTAGATCCCATTAATGTATCCATTCATATCCACAATAAATGGTTACACCGGGGTGAGAGTAGATGGCCCTGCCAACTACGAAAGTGCGCGTAAAGATGGCGCCGACTTTGGAATTTTGACACCTCAAAAGGGCGTGACATCTCATTTCCCCGTTTCATAGTTGGTTGTGCCATCTATGCCAAGAATTTCGCAAACCTGAAATCGATATGTTTGATGTGTGTGTGTTTAATGTTGCTCCCACTAGCTACCATGCAAAACCTTTGAAATGTCAAGCTGGGGGTTGCGCCATCGCACCATCTATTCCCACGGTGTTTTGTTGGATTTCTTGGGGATCCCGTCTTTTCAGCTGTGTTTTGAGATGAATTGCAGCCGCTTTTGGGGGTTGCGCCATCTATTCCTTTGGTGTTTTGGTGGATTTTCTGCAAATCCTGCAATTTCAGCAATTTGTTGTTGGACTCGCAACCCTTTTTGGGGACTGCGGCTGCAGCATTGTTCCTGCCTTTTTGGGGTTTGGTTGGCTTTGCATGTTCTCCACAGTGTTTTGGTAGATTTCTTTTTGAGGTGACTTGCAGCCCATTTTGACGGTTGCGCCATCTATTCCTGTATTTTTAGGTTTGGCTTGGTTTGCAAGGGGAATGGAACATTTATTCCCGCAGTGTTTTGATGGTTTTATTGTAGATGCTTCCATTTCTGCACGGCCCCTTTTGGGGGGTTGCGCCATGTATCCCCAGGTTTTGGGGATTGGTTCGGTTTACAAGTGTTCACACGGGAATGGAGCATCTATTCCCGTAGTCTTTTGGTGCAGATCCTCCCCTTTCTGCATTTCCCTTCATCTATACCCAACCCTCTTTAAAGCGCCGCTTGCCGTCCGCTTACACATCTATTCTGACAAATTCTGACCTGGAGTTCATGGCGTGACCCACACTCAAGAATTGATCTATTGTGGCAGTAGGGTTATTCCCTTTTGGGGCATTGTTTGCAAGACTTTTCAAGAGCAACTGATAGCTGGATGGCACTGTCCCAGGTGGTTGTTTTTTCCCTTAAAAACTTGACTTCAACCAGCTGAGCCCTGTTTCATCAAAGTTTTGATGACCAAAAAATCCTTTCCCGAAAGAAGGATTTAAAATCTAAAATGGTGTAGATGGCGCAATTTTGTGCATTTTGCACATGTAGGGTTGCGCCATCTTCAGGCACATTGGCTGTTTCGGGTATATTTGGGAAATGATTTTTTCACTGATGGCACAACCACCTCTGAACAAGTTGTCCGTTGCCAAGCACTTTCAACCCGGAATTAACAACACCATGCCTAACCACTATTAACATGTTTTCTTAGAAAACATCATGATTCATTGTTAACCATGATTTAAGCATGTTTTACCATCGTGATCCACTATTAACCATGATTCAACATGTATTAACCATCATGATCCGTTATTGACTGTGATTCAACCAATATGAACCAGCATGATCCATCAAACACACATTTATATTTTTATATATATATATACTCATCCTAGGGGATATGGGTCAAAGTAAAATTGGAAGGTGAACACCAAAATATTCTAAAACATCAACAGAACCTAGGGTCCCCTGAACCTTAACTTTTAATCCATTCCCTATTCCCTATTCCCAATTCTTGGTAAAGCACATTTTTTGTTGCAGCAACCTGAAATATAGCCTCTGGTAATTTAACATAGCTATGGAACATTATGGAACATGGCCCATAGAAACAGTTGATTTACCGAACTTAAAGATGGTGATTTTCCAGTTCGCAAAGTGTTAAATTACCAGAGGGCAAGGCCAATGGTGTCCCGAATTCCCACCATGATTCCAGGGTTAGGTCACGACGGACACAGCACATTACCCAGATGAATCTCTGATGAAATCAGCATTTTTCTTGGTGAAATCCCAGGTAAATCACCTTTGAATCACTGGTAAATTTACCCAGGAATCCAATTCTATAGCGATTGTTGTCTCCTTCCATTTTTGAAATGATTATATCATATAAAAAATATATTTCCTTTTAAAAAACACTATATTAATCCATATCTCAGATCCCATGACCCGTGAGTTCCTCTCCGGTCCTCTTCCGCACCTTCTTCCAGGAACTCACGCACCTCCGAGTCCTTCACATCGCCACCTGACGTCCATATGGATATCATTGGATGCAAAGGTCCATGTGATGGATATTTTTATGGTAGGTGTTGGTTAGCATATGAAATAGCTATATGATGGTTAGTTTATTTTCATACCTAAATTGAATTAATTTGATGATATCATACTGGATGATATCAATGGATATTATGATTATTGTTATATAATTATGGTTAGTATATAACGTTAGTATATTATACCTAAATTGATACATCCAGGACCATTTGGTGTGAATTTATATCATGTGGTGCATGTTTATCAAAGCCATGAATACTACAGTTCCAAGATGTTCTTAGTATCATAAACCATAGTTTATTGGAGTTATCGAAACACAACTGAGCTATCGTCACCTTCTATGTGCCATTAATGGATTATGGATGGTTCTGGTCATCCATCTCATGCTATTCACAAAAACATGCTATTCCCAGAAAACGGATTGTTGACCATCCGCTCAGGGGAAGCAAGCCAAGGTTTAGAAATCATGGTATCCCAAAACTACCCTTACGCCGCCCATTTGGTGAAATCCCCGATATCTTGGTGACACAAAAAAGTCAACCTGCTGAATGGCTGAATTCTTCATACCCTCTGGTAATGACTAACATAGCT